GTACCCGCTTAATTAAAAGTGTTATATAATATCAGAATCACTTAACAATGCTCCTGCTTAGCAACCAAAATAGCAGTAGACTATGTTGGCTCAGGAACTCTGGCATTGAAGTGTGCATGTCTTAAAGCTGTCAAGTTACAAGATCCTTGCACCCCTAACCCTTTAGGGAAAAAAACCCCAGGGGTCTTCAAATCTGACAGCTTTTAAGACTTGTGGACTTCAACTCCCAGAATTCCTCCTCCAGTCATGTTGCAGTGACGTCATCTGCTCCATCTTCAATTTTTTTCACCTGGGGCAGGTCTGCAGCTGAAGATGCCGACGAGCCCCTGCCGCCACTAGAATAACTCCTGCCGTTTCCTCCTCCTCCAACAGCACCACCACATTTGCTGCCCGGTGCTGCGGCTAAGGTGAAGCCGCCAAAGCTCCCGCTGGTGTCCCCCCCCCCCATGGCAGCGGCAGCGCCGCCTCCCCCTCAGCTCAGAGCACCTGAGCTGGGCACTGCGTTACCCCTGCCGCCACCTCCTCCTCTGCCATGCTTTTGAGAAGCCATGGGGCCTTTTTTTCCTGCTCCCGCCCCCTCCGCTGCCTTCCTACTGGCTCCCGCGGCCTCATGGCTCCTCAAAAGCACGGCAGAGGAGGAGGGGGCAGGGGTAACGTGGTGCCCAGCTCAGGTGCTCCGAGTGGAGGGGGAGGCACCGCTGCCACATGCGGGGGCGCCGGCAGGAGCTTTGGCAGCTTCACCTCAGCTGCAGCGTCAGGCAGCAAATGTGGTGCTGTTGGAGGAGGAGGAGGCAGCAGTTATTTTAGTGGCGGCGGGGGCTTTGGGGGTTCACTTCAGCCTCAGCGCCAGGTGCAAGCGGCTAGGACTGGCCGCCCACAAAGGACCTCCCTGGGCTTGCTTTGCTGAACACGGGGTGACTGACGATAGTTTGACCAGGCATGCCCGGTGCAAACTACTGTCAGTCACCCCGCACTCATCAAAACAAGTCCAGGAGGTCCTTTGCGGGCAGCCAGTTCTAGCCACCTGCAAAGGACCTCCCCAGCTTCCGGAGCCTGTGACGGTAGAAATCACTGCGCGGCAGTTGCAGTTCTCTGCACTCTGCCGCGCAGTAGAAATCACTGCGCGGCAGAGTGCAGAGAAGAGCAACAAAGAGGATTAGGGGACTGGAGGCTAAAAGATATGAAGAACGGTTGCAGGAACTGAGTATGTCTAATTTAAAGAAAAGAAGGACCAGGGGAGACATGGTAGCAGTGTTTCAATATCTCAGGGGCTGCCACAAAGAAGAGGGAGTCAAATTATTCTCCAAAGCACCTGAGGGTAGAACAAGAAGCAGTGGGTGGAAACTAATCAAGGAGAGAAGCAACCTAGAACTAAATTTCCTGACAGTTAGAACAATTAATCAGTGGAACAGAAGTTGCCTCCAGAAGTTGTGAATGCCCTAACACTGGAAGTCTTTAAGAAGATGTTGGATAGCCATTTGTCTGAAACGGTATAGGGTTTCCTGCCTAGGCAGGGGGTTGGACTAGAAGACCTCCAAGGTCCCTTCCAACTCTGCTATTGCATTGTATTGTATTGTTTGCTTAACAACGATAGCCGTTGAATAACGACCGCCACAAAAAACCCTCGTAAAATCCGGTTAGTCATGTGACTTCGTCACTCAGGATCCTGATGGGCAGCCTCCATTACGATTGTAAGTCGAGGGCTACGGGTATTAAGTGCACCCATGAGTGTGTTTCTCCTCTCCCCTGTGGGGTGCGCGTATTCTAAGGTAAGTTGGCCTATTTCAGATGAAATCGACTCCAATTGTTTATTACCGCCGTAAGGCCCCATCTTTAAAACATCCAATAATAGAACTGTTGCATGCTTCTGTGTGTGTGTGTGTGTGTGTGTGTGTGTGTGTGTGTGCGTGCGTGCGTGCGTATCACAGAAAAACAGTGAGTATATGATCTAAAGATAAATAAGAACATGGAAAATAATGACATAAACTATAGCATTATAAAAAGGGATGGATAAAGACGTATCTAAACTTAGTTCACAGTATAATGTCTTGAACAGATGGTGGCTCCCACAGGGTAAGTTGGCAGCCTATTTTTAATGCTTTTTTTTCAGAAGAAACAGCAGTACAGGTGGTCCTCAACTTACGACCACAATGGAGCCCAAAATTTATGTTGTTAAGTGAAACATTTGTTGTAAGTTTCGCCCCATCTTCCGACCTTTCTTGCCACGGTTGTTAAGTGATTCACCACGGTTGATTGTTAAGCGAATCTGGCTTCCTCGTTGACATTGCGTGTCAGAAGGTCGCAAAACGGGATCACCGGACCCTGCGACCGTCATAAATACAAATCGGCTGCCAAGTGCCTGGATTTTGAGCATGTCGCCATGGGGATGCTTGCAATGGTCGTAATTGTGAAAAACACAGTTTCCAGGGCTGTTACAACTTTGGTCACTAAAGTAACTGTGGTAAGTTGAGGACTACCTGTACAGGTAGTCCTTGACTTATGACCTATCTGTCAACTCCTAACGTTGCCATAGTGAGAGAAGGGGGGGGATGCTTTCCATGCATACTTTCGGCTAAAGTTGGATCTCAGATTACTGCAGCAGGCTTGGGAGAGGTGCACCTCATTGGGGAATGTGATTTGTGACACAGACTGAGGGGAGGGAAGGAATGGGGGTAAAGTTCAGCTATAACTCAAATAAAGCGTAGATCTGACTGCAAAGAGGCCTTGCCTACGGTGCTCCTAATAAATGACTGGTTTTGTATTGAAACTTGTCTCGATACTCATGAATCAATTAGGGCATTTTTAGGAAACCTGACGCTCTCACTAAATGACCATTCAAAGATAGAACAAAGCCGTCACTTATATTATGAGTTGGTTCTGATGCCTTCCCCGCGATCAGGTGACTGCATTTCGGGCGCTTAGCAACCAGCCAGCATTTACAACAGTTAATGGTGCCTTGAAACAGTTGCCTAGCAACCAGTCATTTAGTGAAGTACCTGTAATTTACCCATTGTCCCCCACCCCCACCCCACTTCTCTCTAAAATTATTATACACAATTATGATCCACGTTCTTAGGAAACACAACTCTCCTGCATAATTATTTCATTTGTTCTGTTCTAGATACGTTATAAATGTTGCGTGCGTCCTGCTCCACTCATTAAAATAATGCCGTTTCTCCACTCATGTCGTGTTTTGAGAATGAATTGGGCCCCGGTTTGGGTTTAGAAAGCGGCCCTTCGCTTCCCTCGCCTCCTCACCTCTCGTAATAGTTCCAAGCAGAGGGCAACTCGAGAGGAAGGTGGAAGGCCCTCTGCGCATGCTCAGGGGCCAGAGCTTGAACTGCATTGACACGAAAGTTCTTCCTTGGGCCTTTGCAGGGCAGGTGCCTAACGAGGCGAGGCAGAACGGACAGAGCTGCACCCGGGGGCTGCCCAAACCGGTCTGCATGAATGGGACGGAGTCCGGGCAGCTGGTCAGCAAGACGAAAGCCGAGCGGCGGGCCAGCGCCTCCTCCAACCCTTCCCGCAAGGCCTCTTCTGCCAGCAGCAAGATCCGCAAACTCTCGACCTGCAAGCAGCAGTGACCCCGGCTGGACCGCCCACCACGGTTGGTATAACCGTTCGGGAGGCAGATTGCGACCGGGTGGGAAAGGGTCTCTAAGGGTGGTCCCCGACATACGGTCACAGTGGAGTCCGACATGTCCGTTGCTAAGTGAAAACTAAGTGAGTTTTTACCCCATTGTACGACCTTTCTTGCCACCATTGTTAAGTGAAACCCTGCCACTGTTAAGTTAGTAACACGGTTGTTAAAGTAAATCCGGCTTCCCTGTTGACTTTGCCTGTCGGAAGATCGCAAAAGGGGATCATATCTCTCTCTCTCTCTCCCTCCCTCCCTCCCTCTCCCTCTCTCCATCCCTCTCACTCCATCCCTCTCCCTCCATCCCTCCCTCTCTCTCCCTCCCTCTCTATCTCCCTTCCTCCCTCTCTCCAGCCCTCCCTCTCTCTGTCTCTCCCTCTCTCTCTCTTTCCACCCCTCCCCCTCCTCCCTCTCTCTCCATCCCTTCCTCTCTCCCTTCCTCTCTCTCCCTCTCTCTCTCTCCACCCCTCCTCCCTCTCTCTCCATCCCTCCCTCTCTCTCCCTTCTTCTCTCTTCCTCTCTCCACCCCTCCTCCCTCTCTCTCCATCCCTCCCTCTCTCTCTCCCTTCCTCTCCCTCTCTCTCCACCCCCCCTCCCTCTCTCTCCATCCCTCCCTCTCTCTCTCCCTCCCTCTCTCTCTCTCACACACACACAGAGGGACACTGCAACTGTGATAAATATGACCCAGTTGCCAAGCATCTGGATTGTGATCATGTGACCAGGAGGATTCTGCAACGGTCCTAAGTGTGAAAAAACGGTCCTTTTTCAGTGCCGTTGTAACTTTGAACGGTCACTCAACGGACGGTTGTAAGTCGAGGACTGTCTGTAGCGAGAGCCACCTATGGCAAGAGGGGCAGCATGCAGGTTCAATAAATAGATTAAAAAATGGTATGAGTGAATGACCTTGGGAGTCAAGATTGGCAGATGAGACAACCGATAAGAGGCAGCTGAGCCCTCAGAAAGAAAATTGGTGTGAAAATCATCTCGGAAGAGGCCCTCATCCAAGAGGCTTCTTCAGCTCTGACCGAATGGTGAGAAATGGAAGGATTTATATTTTTTTGCAGACAGCTGGCCATTTGCATCCTTTGGGAGGACACAGATAAACCTCCCGATAGCCTCAGCAACTCTCTCAAAGGGTGCAAATGACCAGCAAGGCGTTTAAACCCTTCCGCTCCCCACTATCCAGTCAGAGCGGAAGAAGCTTCTCGGATGAGAAGTGAAACGTCTTCAAGAAAAAAAACAAAGGAAGTCCAGTTGCCCCTTGAAAAAAGCACCTTTGTGCACAACTGTGACCCGGCTGACTGGGAATCTCCATAGATATAAAAATAAACGTTCTTCTAAACTTGAATTTGTTCTTTCTTTCTTTCTTTCTTTCTTTCTTTCTTTCTTTCTTTCTTTCTTTCTTTCTTTCTTTCTTTCTTTCTTTNCACTGGAAGTCTTTAAGAAGATGTTGGATAGCCATTTGTCTGGAACGGTATAGGGTTTCCTGCCTAGGCAGGGGGTTGGACTAGAAGATCTCCAAAGTCCCTTCCATCTCTGCTATTGTATTGTATTAAAAACTCCATGGTGCATGAATCACCAATAGTAAAAGTGGGAAGCCCCAACACTGGAAGTCTTTAAGATGTTGGATAGCCATTTGTCTGGAACAGTATAGGGTTTCCTGCCTAGACAGGGGGTTGGACTAGAAGACCTCCAACATCCCTTCCAACTCTGCTATTGTATTTGTATTGTAAACTCTGGGATGTTTGGGGGAATCTAGAACATCTCATTGGTTCTTCATGTTAAACCTGTACAAAGGACAGGAAGCCATGGTCTAGATCAGCCTTTTGGGCACTATTTCCGTGGAGTGAGATTTTCTCACGGTCCAGAGAGGGCATGATTTCATCTGCTGCCTGCATCTCACGATGGGGCTTCTCTTGTTTGCATGGCCCAGTTTCTGGCATGCCGTGAACCAGTGCCGGTCCATGGCCCAGGAGTTGGGGATCCCTGGTCTAGACGGAACATGATGAAATAGGCTTGCTCTAGGTCAGCAAAGGAATGAGACAAGGCTGCATACTCTTTCCTTATTTATTCCATCTCTGTGCTGAATATATATTGAGGGAGGCTGGATTGGAAGATTTGGTTTTAAAACAGTAGGAACAAACATCAAATAATCTGTGCTATGCTGATAGCACTACTCTGAGAGCAGAAAGTGCAAAGGATTTGCAAACTCAGGTAATGAAAGTCCAGCAGCAGCCAAAAAAATGAGGCTAAGTTTTAAATATAAGAAAGATCAAAATAATGACAAGTAGAGCAAACAGTTTTCAAACTGACAATGAAGATATCGAACTGAAGCTCTTAGGATCATCAACACAAAAGAAAGTCAAGAACTAGCACCTGTTAGGATAGCAGTGAAGGCGATGGGGAAAAATATTGAGATGCTATGATCTCTGTCTGTAAAGATCAGAGTAATTCAGTCAGTGGCTTTCGTTCCTTTCCTGTGAATAGGAAGGTTGGACTTCAAAGCAATATAATAGAAAACATGTTTAAGCTTTTAAACATTGGTGTTGGAAAGGACTGCTGAGAATACCATAGCTAGCCAAGAAAAAAAAAGCTAACAAAGGAAATCAATGCAGAATTCTCACCTTAGGCAGAAATTATCATTGTTAAATTATAGTAGTTTGAGCATCCTTATTATTTATACATGATATATGGCCTGGTTATGAGGTTATACTCCAATTGTTTCTGACCACCTGGTATTCAGAGCAGGTGCACTCTAGATATCTACTATTAAACCACTAAACTTCTGGGGCCAAGAAAATGGTGCTTTCTCTGTCGCTGCCCCCACTCTAGAATAGCAACCCCCAGAGATAAGAAAGGTGCCCACTTCCTTGGCATTCCAGAAAACCCTTAAGACCTGACTCTCTTCCCATCAAGGGGTTTGTGTTCATTGATGTATGGGTGGGGCCACAAATTAGTATTGTATTTATTGTTCTGGTGGTTTTAGTCCAGATCATCTATTTACGTGCTTGTTTCTATTGTTCTTTGGATTTTGTAAACCGCCCAGAGTTTAATGGAGTGGCTGGCTATAACAAATTTAGTAAATTATTCATGCAGCATTATTAGATTTTGTTTGTAAACAATCAGTTCTCTGAGAATAGTTAATTCCCCCACTCCTATGTCTAAGATACTACAATAAAAATAAAAATAATTTATAAGAGAGAACATAACAACTCAGCATAGTTGAGGTTGTCATTTTGAGAGCAGTGGCAGCAAACTATATTTCTCCCACAATTAGAAGTACTTGTGATACCAAATAAACCGGTTGGCAGTCAATACAACTGAAAGTTGCCAGGCCTAGAGACAACTGATGTAAAAGATGCTCCTCCCCACAACCTGATCAAACTCCAAAGCCAAATTCTAAAGTTTCATATCAGGCTTTAACAAATTTAGATATTTGGCGTTGGGGTAGGTGTCTTCTTTTGGCTATTTGGCAGAAATGTCACACATCTGAATTCAAGCGATTTAGGGTATTTTGAACCACACAGAATACATGTTTCAGAGTCAATTTCCTAAGGGTCAGATTGTGAGATGTCGAGGGTGGTTCATGGACTATTCTAGGTATATGACAGGTGTATTGTTCATTCTTGGCATGTGAGAATGGTAAGAATGGCTTGCACCAACACATACCTCTAGGTTCAAAGTAACACCAGGGTATCTCACAGATCACAACGTCTCTATTGTGAAAGGCTTGATAGCACACCAGACGTAAACTCCAGTCCTTTAATTCAGGCTGTTCCCACAAGTCCATTCAAATGAAGAATAGAACCAAAGTTCAGCCTTGCTTTGAGTTCCTGGGCTCTCCCATATTAGAAACCAAGCACAGCTTGTTCAAATTGTAGCTGGTAAAGTTGGCTGGATCCCTATCCTCACAGAAATCTCAAGGGACAGGTTATTTTGCTCGTGTACTGGCTGCTCAGAAACTGCTGATGGAGAGAAGGGGAGGGGAGTCATCTTAGCCCTCTATCTGCTTAGGTTGAGCAAGAGAAAGAAAGATCTGCTTCCCATTTGCCAATGGGTAGCCCTTGGTTACAGGCAGCAGCCGCTGTCTCTGGGATGCCAGTCAGGCTCTGCTATTGGTGGAGAGGGCCAGCCAGGCTCTCCAACTTGCTGATGGGCCACCCGTTGCCTTGGCAACAGCAGCATCCAGATACGCTTGTGAAGGCAAGGCAACAGAGATTCTGCAAGCTTCTCCAGAAAGCCCTAGCGACCACCATGCAGTTCCACCTGAACCTAAGCCACACAATGCAAGATTGGTAGGGAGGAGGAGGGGGGGGGGNTGGAAGCCTAGGATCCAGAGGGTGCCATGCTCTCCTGCCCTCCCCCTCCCCTTTTTTTCCTTTTTGGTAGCTCCGGCCGTGTCTTCCACCGGCTTCCCTCTCGGAGTGATTATCTATCTATCTATCTATCTATCTATCTATCTATCTATCTATCTATCTATCTATCTATCTATCTATCTGATGTATCAATCGTTTACAAAATAATAGGTATACGAATAAACATGAGTATGAATGAAAAGGGGTACGAATAAATGGGGACAGTAGGACAGGGACGGTAGGCACGCTGCTTATGCACGCCCCTTACAGACCTTCTAGGAATAGGGTGAGGTCAACAGTAGACACTTTAAGGTTAAAGTTATGGGGATTTGAAGATGTAACAACAGTCAGGTAGTGTATTCCAGGCATTGACCACTTCTGTTTCTCCCCCCCCCCCTCTCCATTGGCCACCCAGGGACACAGTGTGGAGCTTGTCCCCCAGATTGCCTTTTTCTCAGTGGGATTGTCTACATGTGCCGCTGAGAGCGAATTCGGTGTGGCATGATTAAGAAGCACGAATTGGAGCAACTGGGAACCAGTTCCTCACTTAGCCTACCTTTTCTTACAAGACAAAGTAGGCGAGAGATGCATGGTTTTTTTCTGGCTCTCTAGAAGGAGAGGATCTCCCCTTAAACAATGCATTGACAGGGACTCGGGGGATCCTACCTGCATCAAAGGTGCTTTTTCAAGCGGTGACTGGACTTTATCATTTTTATTTGAAGACATTCACTTCTCATCCGAGAAGCTTCTTCAGCTCCGAATGAGAAGCGAAACGTCTTCGAAGAAAAACCAGGAAGTCCAGTTGCCTCTTCAAAAAGCACCTTTGGGATAACCATAACCTGGATGACTGAGAATCTCCAGAGCCGATTCCGCCTGCAAATTTTTGTCCAAAATGAGAACTAAGTGATATTTTGGGCATCCACTAGATGCTTTCTTTCTTTCTTTTGTATTTTAAATACATTTAATACAATCATCCATTCCAATGCACTCTAGGTAGCTTACAAAATATAATATTAGATCAAAATAATTTAAATAAAACTTACAAGACAGGTTGGACTAAAAACAACCGTCCAAACAAATTACAAAGATCCCTCCCCAATACGTTAACCTCAGGCCTTAAGAGCAAAGGCAGGTTTTCAGGGCTGTTCAGAACCCCAGGAGAGACGGTGCCCTCCATATCTGGAGGCAATGTTGTTCCAGAAGGTGGAAGGCTTTACAAAAAAGATAGACTTTCTAGATCACACAAGGTGACAATTTTTAATAGAACGGACCTGGAATGCACCCATTCTAGAACATACCACGCAAGAAAAAACAGTGGAAGAAATTCCTGCCAGAATTGAATGTGAATCCTTTCTCACAGCTTAAACACCTTAAAATTCAGGAATATTTCTTTACACCATTGTTTTGCAAATCTATGCACACCACAAACTGTATGATTGTTTGAAGGGAAATGTGTCTGTACCACCAGGCTCTAAATGTGAGGAGGAAGGGCAAACAGTAAAAATGAAAGTGAAACCTAAGCAGTTTTTATATATATAATATTAAAGAGCACCTGTCATTTCAGATCCATCATGGCAGCACATGTTAGCGGGTATCCATTCACCTGCTGCCCCTCACCTTGTTGTGTCACTGCCGCATCACCAGCTGTCCCATTAAAGTGTGTGGGATTGTTGGTGAGTCAAAAGCGGGTCAGAGGAGGAGCCTCTGGGACAGAGATGACAGTTGCTCTTTAAAAATTTTGATTTAAATCAATCCTTTTTACTAGTGATTTAAATTGTGATTTAAATCGACTTGACTTAAATCAAATACATTCTGTTAGCTTTCACATGAATATTAGTCATTGTACACAATGAAATTGATTACTAGTCTTGGTGCAGATTATTGTTCAATAAAACTGGTTAGAAGCTTGTTGCAGAATTCATATATGCAGCCAGTAATAGAATCATGTTGCAAAATATCCTGGGTACACTCAGGTTGTATATAGAATAAGGCAATGATATATCTGCCTGAAATATATTGATATGATGCCTTTGAAATCTGTTGATACATTTGGAGAGTATATCATATATCTTCGTTAGCTATCTTTTTTCCCCCTTCAAGATTATTCAGCTCCTTCCATTTCTCTTTGTAGCACTTAATTTCTAGTCCCTGAATTATTACTACTGTTGCTGTTCTCTAAGCCTCTTCCAATATTTTTGGATTAAATGTGATACATAAACTGAACATCATATTTGAGGTAGGAGCTGATCTATGCAAAATAAACTGGAACAACTATTTCCTGTGATTTGGAAATTGTACTTTCGTCATTGGTGGTGCAACCTGAAATTTCATTTGTCCTTTTTGTAATTGCTGGCTCTTGTTCAGTTTGCAATTGGCTACTACTAACCCTTTTACAAATAACCTTAGAAGTACTCTCCATCTTTATCTGTTCATCTTTCTCATGATAGAACTTTTGCATTTGTCTATGTTAAATTTTATCCTATTAGTTTTAGCCATTTCTCTAATCTAATGATTCTCAAACTGTTCATTGGTCTGTGGAGTCCATTAGATAGTTCATCCCCATATTAACCCCTGTCATTGGGTCAAAGCTTACTTGTTGCTTCTACCTTCACTCCTGTTCATCACCAGTTAGCTAGTTCATAATGATGCATCAGTGGTTGACAAAACATTTATTGAAGGAAATGAATGATAATATAATAATGTTAGTATTACAATTCAGAAATCTGATAATACTGAGGAGGTCTCAAGTGTAGTTGAAGTGCAAATGAATATTTTTATCAGCAAATATGTACTAATACTGTAATTTTGCATAAAATCTACATTTAAAAGGCTTTTAAAAATTCAGATGATAGGAGGATATATTTAAATGCAATTATAATCAGTAATTTATTTTCTCCAAAATATGCAACTTCCATTCTCCTAAAGTAAAAAATAAAGGGTAAGTGTATTGTTTACATGCTTGGCCCTTGCTTCTTCTTAATTTCTATTCAGTAAATCGCAGTTATAGAAAGTTTTGCAAAATGCTCAAACTCTTCAAGATTTTTAATTATGCTTTTGTTTTCTAGGATATTAGCTACCAATTTTATCTAAGCTTTTTCATCCAAGTCAATAATAAAGACTTTGACAAGTATATCTTGACAGACTAAGTTAACCTTTTTTCATTGAGTAACTTCTTTAATAAATTGTGGGAGTGATAGAGACATGATACAGTAAAGCACTTAATAAATATCTTATGACATTCTTATTAGTAAGCTGATTAAGCATGGACTGAATGGCATAACTGAATGATTCCATAGCTGATTTCAAAATAGTATTCAAAGAACACTCATCAGTAATTCTTCACCAAATTGATGTGGTCTGTAAATTTTAATTGAACAGGTTCTCTAAATTAACTTGCTGAACATGGTTTCAAAAACTGCTTTTGCAGCATCTGTTAGAGAATTCCAAATGGTTGATCTTGAAGAAGAGCTTCCATTTAGATTTTAATCTCTCTTTCCATCTTTTCCTTCTTCTGTTTTCTCCTACAGTGATGATAGCAACACATCAACAGATGAATGATGCCCAGATTCCTTACAAATTCCGGGATTATTGTGCCCATCATTACATAATGTGGATGAAGTGCAAGCGTGACACATACCCTTTTTCAATCAGAGGATGTAAACACGAGGCGCATGAGTGGCAGTACTGTGAGCATCTGGAGTAAGTCAAAGCTATGGGTTTAATCTGCTTTGTTGCTATATCTTGTCCTTTATTCTTTATTCTGTAAATTGACTGTGTTTCAGAAATTAGAAATTACCCTGGATTAGAAGCACTGCCTCTGTATCCCTGTAATTCCTTTATTAAATGTGTTCTGTTTCCACCATAAAAATTCAGTGAGTTTTCAAAAAAGTAGGATGGGGTTGGAGACTATAAACGCTTCCATGATGTGAATAGGGAAGAGATCATGATAGTCAACCAAGTAGTTTTTCCTTAATTCTGATAAACCTTGATTTAATTTTAAAGCACTTTGCCCTGATGGAAAAGGGCCCCAATCACTGAATTTTCTAAGCAAAGTTATGTGCATGTGGGTAAATAATAAATGAATAATTATTCCATTGTTCTCTAGCATGCATAGAGAATACCACACTAAGACCTTGACTGTAGAAGATAAGTCTGGGGAACAATCTGCCTCAGTAATAAAATGTCTGATACTTTAAATATGAAATAAAATTGTGGCATTCAAGCCAATTAACATACAGCAAGAAAAGCCTGGTTTAGTAGGGCCAAACAGATTTGAACTGACTTATACTTGTATCCTTTGTGTTAGCTATGTTATGCGCATGAAAGAATTTGAACGAGAACGGCGTTTGCTGTCTAGGAAGAAGCGCATCGAAGAGCAGGCGAAAATTGCCATAGAAACCTAATTAGTTTGGGGTGCTTCTCCTCCCTCCTCTTACAAGAAACTTCTGGACTTGCTATATTGAAAACAATAAAAACATTATGTCACAGTTGGGTCTCAGATGTTCACTGTGATTCCTACAACGAAATGAATGAATGCACATCTCGGACCTAAGGCTAATAAATGTTCATAAATGCCAAGGATCTGTAAGTATCTTCTTATTGGGAGTCCTAATCTTGCATGACCAGTTCTGGCAATTGTGCCAATGAGATGCGTCTAGTTAAGTTCAGATGGAACTGTACCATTTAGTTACTTTTATATTTTCTCTGTATTCAGCAACATAAGCTTTCAGTTTCATTCTGGATGAAGACAGCTGCTTCTGAATATTATGTTTGTATACATTCTGTATACATTCACACTTCTTCATACACAAGCAAAGTTCCTTTTACGAAACTTGGAGCTTTTGAAAATGACGAGTGCTGGAATCCCAAGGCCAGTAGATTGTACTAAACACCAAGAATTGCTCTGCCTCATGTGAAATAAGAAATAGTGGAGCATTTTGAGCTGCAGGTCTAGGCATTGTACTTCCTGACTAAATTATTTTATTATTTATCTAAAATGTTTGTTTCTTTCAAGGAAGGTAACATTGAAGCAGTTCTAGTAGAATCAGAACATAAATCACTGTAATGAGGCTGTCTCAGTCATAACTGATATACCCACGTGGCTGCCGGCCCACTTCTGCTTCCTTGCAGCTGCAATGGAACAGGAGGCCAAGCAATGTGAGTGCCATGGCCACGAAATGAGGCAGGTGTCAGGCATGGATGGCCTGGCTGTGGGGGTCCTGCGGGGCATGTGGGGCAGCTCCACCCCTACTGCTCACCCCAAGCAAGCCGTCCGTATATAGGGGAAAAAATAAGACACAACCCTCTGAAAATAAGTCCTAGTGCTTATTTGGGGCCCAAACAGGAAACATGGGAAGTACCTCGTGGAACCTAATATTAGCAGCAATATGGAGTAAGCAGAAATCCTCCAGCGATATTTTCTGGAGATGACTATCCATGAATAAGTGGAACCCACTCTAAGGCTGTTCCACCTATACGAAGGTTAGACAACTCCCGTGATTTCTGGGATCAGGAGCCATTGAGAAATATGGCAGAATCAACATGGTACTATTCAATGTCTCTTGGCAAAGCTCATCCAAAGAGCAATTCAAACAGTTTCAGTGCCAAAACGGAGTAAAAGCCCCTACTGAATTGACCTAGAAAGTCTTTATTTCATTTGTCTGACTCTAAATCAGTCACTACACACTTTTAATACTTTGATCAGAAAGAATTTGTCACTAGCTGTTATTGGGCCTTTTTTTAAACAAATGGCGTCTTTCTATGAGGGATCATTCCTTCTAATAAGAAATGTACGAACTCAGCTGAATACCCCTTTATGATAAATGTGATAAGTGAAGCTTAGTTATTGGAATCCAATTAGGTACCTTGTACAGATCTAAGGGGACGCGGTGGCTCAGTGGCTAAGACACTTATCTTGTCAATCAGAAAGGTCGGCAGTTCGTCAGTTTAAATCCCTAACGCCGCATAATGGAGTGAGCTCCTGTTTTTTGTCCCAGCTTCTGCCAACTGAGTGGTTCAAAAGCATGTAAAAATCTAAGTAGAAAAATAGGAACCACTTTGGTGGGAAGGTAACAGTGTTCGGTGCACCTTCAGCATTTGGCATGCTGGCCACATGACCATGGAGATGTCTTCAGACAGCGCTGGCTCTTCGGCTTTGAAACGGAGATGAGCACTGCCCCCTAGAGTCTGGAAGAGTTAGCACATATGTGCGAGGGGAACCTTTACCTTTACAGATTTTCAGGCTTTAAACATTGGAATAATTGACCATCTAGGGCCTTAGACTTTTCTACTGATTGAACTGCTAAGTCATGATGATCTTGATTTATTTTCAAACTTAGAGACAACGGGTTCTTTACACAGGTAATCCTCGGCTTACAAGTTCATTTAATGACCAAAGTTACAATAACACTGAAAAAAATGGCTTCTATTTTTCAGTTATGACTTTGCAGCATGCCCGTGATGATGTGATCAAAATCCAGATGCTTGGTAACTGGTTCATATGTATGACCATTGCAGTGTCCCATGGTCATATTATCATCTTTTGAAACCTGACAAAGTCAATGGGGTAGCCAGATTCACTTAACAACTGGGTTAGTAATTATCAACTACAGTGATTCACTTAATTGTGGCAAGAAAGGTCATAAAATGGGGCAAAACTCACTTGACAAATGTTTCACTTAACACAAGTTTTGGGCTCAATTATGGTCATAATTATCTAGAGCTAGTTTGGTTTATCAGTTCAAAGATCAGGCTAGAAAGTGAGAGACCATGAGTTCAAGGCCCACTTTAGCCATAAAAGTCAGCTGTGTAACTCACACTTAGTGACACACACTCAGTTTAACCCACCACACAGATCTCTTGTGGGGAAAATAGGAGAAAGATGTATTGCATTTGTTTGCTGCCTTGAGTTATTCATAAAATAAATAAAGATGGGAAACAAATGCCTCTAGTTAGGCCAGGCTCCAAAAGCCAAGAATTATTGAGAAAAGCTCCACTGGATGACACTGAAAGGATGCAAAGTAGAGGGAAAGTCTCATGATGTCTTCCACCAAACTATTCAGTAATGAACGCTGGAATTTGATCAAATTTGAGAAGTTTCTCTCCATCTGCTTTTTAGCTATCTAGCAACCTGTTGCATAGCCTGTATAGTAGAGGGTGAAGCAGCTCTGCACCATACTAGAGGTTGCTCAGATTTTATTATTCACCAATCTGGCATTTGGTAACAGCACCTGTAGTCCATAAAGCAAGCCAGTATGTTTACCCAGCTATCCAATCAAGGACATAACCAGTAATTGAGAAAGATATCTGCACCAAGCCAGACCAGACCAACTATTCTACCTAGCCCCCTCCAAAGATATCTGGGACTAATTGAAAGGAGTGTCCAATCCAGAGGTGGTATTCAGCAGGGTCTGACCAGTGGAGAACTGGTAGCAGAAATTTTGAGTATTTCGGAGAACTGACTGGCCCCACCCCCATCTATTATCTGCCTTCCGAGTCCCAGTTGATCAGGAAAGAATGGAGATTTTACAGTATCCTTCCCCTGGAGTGGGGTGGGAATGGAGATTTTACAGTATCCTTCCCCCGCCACACCCACCAAGCCATGATCATAGAACCAGTAGTAACAATTTTTGAATTCCACCACTAATCCAATCGCTCGGGTTGAGCAGTAATATAGGCTACAGTTGACAGCAGAACCAAAACAAGGGGTATTACTAATGGTGATGGCAAAGTTGTTACTATAAGTCAACAGTCATATAGCTACTGCAGCTAGAAGTAGGTTGCATGTCGCCTTGAAAGTTTCTTGTGTAATATGTCCAAGCTGCATTTCTCATCTTTTGTAAACATTCACAATCATGCTTCTGCCAATTTGCTGTTCAATGAATTGTGTGTGATTTTTCAAAGGAAGAAGTTATGTGGGATGAGTTTCTTTCAAGTGAGTCTTTCTCATGTACAGTATATTTGAAGATTTTTTTCTATCCTGTCCTTCAGCTGGATAGGCTTCTGGGAATGGGGAATACCATTCTATCCAATTTTACTTGTGTTTAATTCTGAAAGTAAAAGCTCATCTATAGCTGAGTAAAACACGAGGTGCAATCATCCATAATACTTGAGCACCCAAAGGTATTTTGTTCGCAGTTGATCATGAGATAATACCAAGTATAGGTGTTCAAAATATTTCTTTGGAAATACAGTTCATTAACAATAAGTTTTTCATTCAATGTATTTATATTTATAGTCAGTCCTACCTGGTGTGTCATTTTTCACATGAAAGAATAATATTTTGTGTCCTATGAGTTCTCTGTTCATCCTACTACCTGTACATATACAACGAAGTGAGCGAATTTGAACCGGGGAGCCCAATTCTGTGGTCAACCTACAGGTGCAATTTGTAAGATAAGTCACACAGGACTCTCAAATCTTAACTTTAAATTTTCCTAGCCAGTAAGCAGTCCCATTCTCCTTATGCAACTATAATCTGTTAGGAATCCAATGTTTGTATAAGACTATATAGTTTCTGGTCCAATTAATTTAAAATGAAACGATATATCAAATATAACAGAAGTGTCCATTCTTACCTGTAGTCTTCCCCAATGTGTGAAAAAAGTCCTTCAATGTATAATTCCATGCTTTAAAAAAACAATTTGAGACTGCCCAGTGGCTGGATTATTTTTTATTGGTTAGTTTAAATAAAGTTCCACATGAAATGGATTATAGCAAAGTCAGTGGCTCATTTAACAGCAGCCTTGGAGCCTAGGTTTCAGATATCACTGCTCACATGCAGCATAACCTAAGTCTATGACAAACATTCATCTTGACTGTGAACATATTTGTTTAGAATCAAGTTCCACTCTACTTCAAATGGGGCTGCCTCCAAATTAAGTAGTCCCCATTTACTAGCCACTCATTCAGCAACCATTTGAAGTTGGTGCTGAACAAGTGGAACTTATGACCAATCCTTGAAGTTCTGGCCTTCGCAGTGCTCCACGGTCATGCAATCATGATTCAGAGACTTGTCAACTGCTTGTATTACTGCAATTGCAGCATCCTGTCATCAGATTATTGCCAATTACAACCTTCCCTGCTGGCTTCCCAAGATCAAAATCAATGGGGAAACCAGAAAGGAAGGTTGCATGTTACTCTAGTAAGTTCTCCAGGCTTCTTGTCATGCTGTGTATCCCACAACCTGCTTATGCTCAAGTCTGTTGCCCCCGCCATTCCTCCCCACAGACCCCCACTTCCAAATCACAGCCTGCACCAACCCTTCCAACTTCCCATCCTGGTCCTTACTTAAAATTCCTACCACTTTCCACTTAATAACCTGCATATATTGAGGTAATGACAGTAAGTGGAATTGCCAGTATTGCTGTTGTTAAGTGGTGTGGCCACCTGATGTTCCACTTTGCAACCACATTGCTTAGCAATGGCAATCCCACTCTCAGTTGCCGTCATAATCCAAAAACTAACTCTAAGCAGTATCCCAACCTTGGTAACAATGACAAATAGAAAAATAAACAACCTCCTCTCAAGAAGACAGTCCAAACCTCAGAGGCTTCAGTTCTGTAACACTGAATATTTTTATAGAAGGAATAATAGGCATTTCCTTATCTCTTAAGTGCTAGAAATGGTTACAAATTTCAAAGCAGAACCCCCCCCCCCAATTTCTCAGTGCACTTGTAAACATTATACAAATTGAGTAAGTCAAACAAAAGATGCAATTTGTAGCATTTACCTACATTGGTATTGATCACTCTTCTATTTAATGGACAACTGGAGGAAACACCTTTTATCATCTGATCCATTAAATAGAAGTTTCACTTGTATATCTCCATAATTGCCCTGTCCATTCATCTTTCAATAGGCCTGTGTTACAGAAAGTTACACAATTCTTGCTAGTTAAGACACAACACTATATTTGCTAGACTTGCATTTCAAGAACTTAACTTCAGAAGGCATACTCTACCATCCCACAAAATTGAGTCACGTCAGGGATACACTTCTACTTGGAAGATGATGTTCACTACTCATAAGATTCTACTAGGTAGGAAAAGGAAAATCATTTGTGTGGACGACAAGTGGCCAATTTGTATGGTAGACAGGACTGAAACAACCGATGTAACACCAAAGCTAATACTGGATCATAACTAATTTGTTTCCTTTGCTTCACAGCAGGGAATTTGCCATGTCATAATTTAGCTTATAACTGGGATGATTAAATAATGCGTTCTGCCCTTATGAAATTACTTGTAATGTCATTCAATTCAGCCATTTTTAATTTTGGTTTCAAGCACAAATGCCTACTAGTTGAACAAGGGTTAAAAAGGGACACAAGATCCTCCTATAAAAGAGATGAAGTTAGTATTGTCACTGATCTTAGTCAGTTTATTTCCCAACAGAAAAAAACATTACAATTTTTTAGTACCAAGCATCACTCCAGAATAAAAAAAATATAGCAATAATATTTACTACTAGGAGAATGCCCACAACTGAATTAATAGACTGTGCTGTGCTTTGAATGCAAATGCAAATGAAAAACAGTGTATTGTACCACACAGGGCCATGATGACTGCATCAGTCTGCAACTCCTTAAAGCAGCCATGCCTTTTCCTGGGTCTTTCCATCCCAGGAAAGACCCATTTGGTTTAGGAATGGCACCATGCGTTGCAAGGCACTTTTATGCTTTCATATCCAAAGTGATGCACAAATGCAGTGGACAACTTTTCTAAAATTATTAATAAGAACTAGAGTTAAGATTGCTATTCTATGACCTCACTTTTGGCCAAAGTCCAGCTGCCTAGGTTCCATTTATGGTATCTGCTCTTACAAATATAATGCGTAGCAGCTGTTCAACTCCCTCCCCCCCTGTAAAATTGGATTGTTCCCTCTGTTCTTGTTGCAGTGTTTGGCTTCATGGTAACTGTAGCAAAGTGTTATTCCAAGTCAAATGTGGTTTTGGATTAAGGGCAAAGGACAAAGATGACTGAGGAAAGGGCAATTAACTTTAAAAGGAAGGAATTCCAACAACCCTCCCCCCCAAACACATTGTGGACAGTGAAAAAACCCCTGTTTTAGACTCCAATAACAGCTGCTCAAGAAGATAAAAAATGAAGCTACCAGCCCAGTTTGATATCTTAGTGCAGGAGGAGGCTTAGAGCAGAAAAGGAACGATAGGCGAACGTAGGGGTGGGTAATCTCGGAACTCCTTCAGGTAACTTCGGTGCTTTCCCTTTGCCCAAATGGTCATTTGAATAAATCCAACCAAGGTAAACAGAGCCACTGTTGACAAACAAAAAAGCATGTAATATTATTAGGTATTCAGAAAAGTATCCTCCCTGAGCAGAAAGGCAGAAAAAAAATTAAAACATTTAACATTGACTCCTTTTCCAAATGTATTACAGATAGTCCTTGAATTACAACAGTTCCTTTAGTGAACTGTTCAAAGTTGCAATGGCACTGAAAAAGGTGACTTATGACCATTTTTCACACTTATAACCATTGCAGTATACTCATGGTCACATGATCAAAATTCAGACATTTGGCAACTAGCTCTGATTTATGACGGTTGCAGTGTCCTGGGGTCTTGTGATCACTTTCTGCAACTTTCTGACAAGCAAAATCAATGGAGAAGCCAGATTCACTTAACTATGGTGGTACTAACTTAACACCTGCAGTGATTCACTTAAAAATCACGGCAATAAAGGTCGTAAATTAGGACAAAATTTACTTAACTTTCTTTGGTCTCAATTGTGGTCATAAGTCAAGGACTACCTGTACACCTTTGAAGGAAGAGACTACATAAATAGAAAATACTACCAAGAATCTTATATTACATTGGATACTTGTCTTGGGGAATACTATCTTTGTCCATTGTTTAATATAGATACTCCAGAGCTAAAGCATCCCTAACAAATGGAAAACAGATTTTGTAAAATAGAAAGTAGCCCTCAGGATTACTACTATCCCAGCAAGAGGCAGCATCTTTCATTATTTCCTACACTACATAATGAATGAGAACATCTTCAACTTCTATGTGCCTTGGTAAAACAAAGTAAAGGCAATGAAGAGACCAAGTGGAAGAGTGCATAGCTGCTGGCATCCCTCTTAGTAAAGAGATGAAGCTTACTGTGAGACAGAAGCTGTAATTTACTGAGCTCTTGTAATCTTATGCTGGTACTTTCTTTGCTGAAAGGGGGAAGATAATTCTCCAGTTTTAAATTCATAGACCCTAATCTACTTGGCAATAAAGAACAGTTCTAGTAGAAAAATTGGGAAGGGCCAGAAAGAATAAAAATACATAACTGTATTTCATAAACACTGCTTAACAAAGTTCTTATTAAAAGCGACTCCAGCAAAGCTCTAACCTAGTATCAGGACTTACCTGGAAGGCACTGAGTCATTATGGCAAAACCAATCCAAGACCCTACCTGGAAAAGAAAGCATCAAGACTACGTCAAGGAAAATATTAAGACTTTCTAGGCTTGAGCATTGCGTTCTTCAGCTACAGTAAACATATAGCACAGTCCTACTTTGAAGGATGAAGACCCAACTCATGCACAAATCCCGAATGTTTCTGTACTTGCACTGAAAACTTTCCCATAAACTTTCTATCCCATTTACAGGGCCTGTTTCGACACTTGATTGTCATACTCATGTGAACATAGCTACTTGCCTTTTGAATTAAGAGTGGGATAGGTATTTTCTTCTACTTACACACTAATCTAGATGGGCTAGAAAGTTTATGGGAAAGTTTTCAGTGCAAATACAGAAACACATTCAGGATTTGTGCATGAGTCTTAACTCAAGCATAGGTACTATTCTTAGCACCCATGAAACCAAAGTGAGAAAAATGTAGAAGAAATGGGAGTTTGCCAGGGAAGTTTAACCAGAAGTTCCAAGGTCATTTTTAGTATTTGAACTTAATTTTTAATATTATTTTATAGTTATTGTTTTGAGATTATTGTAAGGCACCTCAGTGAAAATGGCAAAAAGCCAACAATTACTCAGCTTCTATTTTGTCTCTATTTTTCCAAGAAAAAAAGGTTATGTGTACTATATTTATGTGGTAAATATAAAGACAAATGAACAAAAAGGACTGAAGCTTGAGGCTGACAAATATATAGTCAGCCAGTATCGATTCATTTCAAATGAGTATACCTTTCATATTTCCTAAAATGCAACGCAAATGGGTGTGAAAAATGTTGCTGATGGACAGGCTGAACTCTGAGAAATTCTAGAGAACAGATGGCATATGACTCAATGAGCTCAGATGTGTTCCTATTTCAGAAATGAGGAAAGGATCCAGGGGATTACACACTAGTCTAATAGGTGGGAAGATCTGAGAGCTGAATTTGGTAAGAACAAATTTCACCACACTAACATTATTTCATTCTTTTATTGAGTAATTTTCTTAGCCAATCTGGGAATGCTATAGATTTAATGTATCCTGACTTCAGCAAAGTCTTTCACATAATATCCCATGACATTCTGATTAACATGATAGTTAAGTGTGAATGGGATGACATGACAAGTGGATACCACAGCTTCTGAAAAAACCAACTTCAAAGAACCATCTACTTTAAACCAGAATGATACCTTTAATGGGATCCAAAATGGGCTCTCTTTACTCTTCTATTTTTTAAAATTACTTGGGTAACTTATAAATTTCAAACAATATTGATAGGTTTCAGAAATGAATAATTTCTGCTCATAAATGAGTATGAAGTGAGTGCAGAACGGACAAAATCAATTTTATGACCCATCAAAGAAATATAGTTTGAGATTATGAGAGATAATTCTACTTTACTTAGTTAGACCCCACTATATCCAATTTATAAAATACAGAATCATAAAGAAAGGAGGGGATCCTTGGAGGTCTTCTAGCCCAAACCCCTTCCCAAGGACAACTTGTTGTCCAATCTTTTCTTGAATACTTCCAGTATTCAACTCTGGAAGGCAAACTGTTTCATTGATTCTCACTGTCAGGAAATTCTTTCTTATTAACAGGTTGGATTTCCCTTTGTTAAACTTTTATCCTTTGCTTCTTGTCCTGCCCTCAGGTACTATAGAGAATAAATTAATGCCCTCTTTCCACTGACAGGCCTTCAAATATTGGAAGACTGTTATCATGTCACGCCTAAGCCTTCTCTTTGTTAGTCTAAACATACCAAGCTCCCTTAGCTGTTCTTTATACAATTTAGCCTCCCCCTTATCATCTCTGTTGCTCTTCTCTGTACTCTTTCTAGGGCCTCAGTATTTTGTGTGTGTGCTGGTGATCAGAATTGGACAGTTTTCCAAATGTGGCCTCACTAGTGCAGTAGGCAGTTCCCACGATCTTGATGCAATCCCCGTTGATGCAGCCTAGGACAATGTTTATTTTTTTTGGCAACTGCAGCACACTGCTGATTAATACTTAAATGGTGATCCATCAGGACACCTAGATCCCTCTCATAGTTAATACTGTTGAGCCTGTTACTGTCTATCCTGTATCTGTGCACTTGGTTCTTCTTGTGCAAGACGTTGCTATTCTCATCACTGAGCTGCATCTTGTTGGATAGAGCCCAGTGTTCAAGTCTGTCAAGATCTTGAATCTTGAACATATCTTCCAAAGTATTATCAATTCCCCCACAACATGGTATCATCTGCAAATTTCATGAGTCCCTTATTAATTAACTAAATTTATTTGCTGCCCACATTGTATCCAACAACTCTGGGCAGCTGAAGATGATTTATGAAGGTGTGAGGAGCACTGGGCAAAGATAGAACTTTGCATGCTTCCCTTCACATAGAAGTATTTCCATTGAGGACCACATGCTGAGTGCGATTGGTCAGCCAACTGCAACTGCATCTGGTGGTGATACTGTCTATACTACATAGTTCTATCTTACCAAGAAGTAGACTGTGTCTACTGTATCAAATTTCTTACTTAAGTTGATTCTGGGTGCTATACCTTACAAAGCATTCAGAGAAACTATAACAGGTTCAAAGAAATGTAAGAAGCATGATCAAGGGACTAAAACAAAGTTATATAATAAGGATTTGAAAAAAATTGAGAATTTTTAACTTTAAAATATCTGAAGGATTATCACATACAAGATCACAACCTACCCTCTATCATTCTAGGATGCAAAATAATAATTTTAAATTACAAGAATGAATGGGTATTCTCATTGTTTTTTTAAAGGGCTATTCTGAAAGAGTAAGTCAGCAGTGGAACCAATTGCTGAGAGAAGAAATAAAGTCCACTTTACTGGATGATTCAAGATGAAACTAGATTTCCATCTGTCGTGAAATTTTAATTTAAATCAAGGGTGGATGAAGCTTCTGAGCAACAGGAATTAATCATTCAATTAAAAGACAGATAAAAGTAATGATTTCTAGACTATTTGCCTAGATACTGTCACTATACCTATATGTTTCCTGTGAAGCATAATTCATTAATAAAATACAGATTTAAACATCCAGAATTTGTTCCAAAGCTAAAACACAGCCATACCTCATAAGTATAATTGGGACAAGAGACCAGCAAGAAAAGCCATGTAAATGGATTCCTCGTAGGGAATGGGATCTTCCTGGCCTTCGAACCTAGAAGAAATCATAAGAATGTTTATTGAGACAAAGAACCAATTTGCATGCAATAACTATCACCCAACAACACATCCAAGAGTTACAGTAAAGCATTAGACTTGTAAAAGTCTCCCTTCTCTTTATCAAAGGTGACAAAAAAAGTTCTGTATACTTCACAGTTAAAAAAAGACACACATACCAAAGATTCTAACATGGTTTTAGCCGATAACAAAATAATTTCCCATTCTGCCTGATGTAGCTTCATCCCACTTCCAAAAAACTGCAAAACTCTTCCTTTCTTCCTACCAAACCTGACAGAGCACTCTCTTCTTTTCCTTGTTTGGCTTTCAGAGGATTACCTCTGGGCACCTAAGGCTGGCTTGTTATTTAAAGGGTCAGCTGTTCCCATTACAGAGCAGAGGATGTTTTTAATACAGACATCTGCACTTCCATTTGGTCTTTCTCTATACTCACCAGCTGGGCGAAGATTTCGCAGAGCAATATGAATAGAAAAGTTTCCCAGCTGACAGAACTGCAAGAGGAAACAAAACCAGCATTAGCAGGGAAGGGGCAAGAATGGATTTTTTAATGCTTACTATCACCACTAGAAGCCAGATAGTGGCACAGAAACCTCCCAGAGTTCCCCCCATCTGTGATTCAAATAATTTTGTAGAAATCTTAGGAATTTGCTTGGAGGAAAAGATAAAACTTTTAATGTGCCAATACAACAAGGAATTTTTATCACTCATGTCTTCTGGTCTCATGTTCTCATCAGTCCAAACCAATTTAAAAGCTGTGGCACTAATAAGATGTTCTACAATTGTGCAAAAGTACCATACGTTCTGGCTCTAAGACAAGAAACTCAGGATCCAGTATTTTCCAGTACCATAACTAAATAAACTTTTAAAAAACATTGTTGTCTTTTTTCTTTCTCCTGCCTTATTTTCCCCTTTTGTAGTTTCACTTGATTTTCTTTGGTGCAGGTGTCTTCTCATTCTTTATAATGCATCATATACATACAATCAACAAATAAGATTGCACAGCATGAATACAGCATTTTTCTGCAGTTCTTGAAAGCAGTCTGAAATCACAGAACTGCCTAGTGCAGGAATCTGATCAGTCCAAGAAAAAAAAAAGACTGCCTTCAAAACTTGCAGTAAAGTGCTATATTCACATTTCTGCATGTTAAAGCACCTGCATGTTAAAGCCAAGGTGGCGCAGTGGTTAAATGCAGCACTGCAAGCTACTGCTAGATCAGCAGTTCAGCGGTTCAAATCCCACCGGCTCAGGGTTGACTCAGCCTTCCATCCTTCCGAGATGGGTAAAATGAGGACCCAGATTGTTGGGGGCAATATGCTGACTCTCTGTAAACCGCTTAGAGAGGGCTGAAAGCCCTATGAAGCGGTATATAAGTCTACTGCTATTGCTATTGCTATTTCTTGAAATGAATTTGAACCACTGTAGAGTCCTACTAACATAATGGTCTTAAAACATGAGTACATGTGTAAGGGGGAAAAAGTTTAATAGTACCAGATGCATGATCCATTCCCAAGCAAAACCGCTTCATGGTCTTTCCATGCACCAAGAAAGAGAGGTATATTTCCATGCACCAAGAAAGAGAGGTATATTTTTACTATACATAATTCTAGTTCCGGTCTCAGATTTCTCCCCATTGCTACAAAAGGCCACTGATCTTTCTCTTATTTGAGGTAATTATTATGGTTTGTAAAAAAATCCAATATTATCTTATCAATCTGCATAAGACTTGTTTGTCTGCCACAAACAGATAGTCATAACTTTTATTTTTCTTGATTTTTAACATGTAACTTTGCATGGGGAAACTTCCCACCTTAGGTTGGCCTAGCCTCTGTCTAAAACATCTGCCTATTTTCTATTACAAATCCACCGTTTTTAGGTATAGGGCTATTCTTCAAAAATCTACAAATTATTACCAGGAATATGATAAGCGCCAATTTCACTTGTCCATGTCCATATGCTGAAAAAGAACACAGAAAAAGAAACAAAAACACTATTAGAATAACTATAACAATTGGAGTACCTAGAACATTCCTAAAAGAAAAATGATTCCCCAATGATAGATCTCAAGATTTTCCAACTGAATGAAAGAGAATCTCATGACAGTAACTATACAATTGCTGTATATGCTGTATATGTGTGATAGCATATTAATACTCACAAGGAAAGGAAAAAACAAGGATAAACTAGAGGCCTTCAGTTAATTCCTTCAGAGTTTTCTTTCTCCTTTCACCATTCACTAATTAATTATAATAAATCAAACCAGCAAATGAAACAAAGGAGTTGATTCACCTAGACATATTTGAAGATGTCAAAAAGTATGTTGCCGGGTTAATGCAAGAAATGTTGTATACATGGATTTTCATAAAGCCTTTGACAAAAGTTCCTTACCAAAAGATCATAATAAGATGTACAAATGTATGTTTTTTCTTCCTTTCTCATTACATTGGAACTCTTTAATGTAAGGAGATTTAGGACCAGAAGACAATTTTTCATGCACAGCTGTGTTAAAAAGAATGTTTACTGCTTATTACTTTATTTAAAATATAAAAATAGCACATTTAAAAGTATAGGAGCTACAATATGAACTATACAAATGAAACAAAAATATGCATAAAAATAACTTCAAATATGAAATAACTTTTGATATGAAATATCTTGATTTCATATGAGGTGTCATATATGGTACCATAAGGATACCAGATATGTTTTAATTAAGACTTGAAATAATTTGCACCAAACTATATCCTGTGTTCTCTGTAGAGTTGTATATGGCGCATATAGTTTGCTGCCTTTTTTCCCATGCTTTTCCTCTTCATAACTTGTGAGATTTGTATAGCTGACTTATAACAAACAGACCCAAAATAATGACTTTAATGTCCAAGAGAATATTTGAATGAGATCTCCCTAGATCTAGACTGAAACCTGAACTGTTTAAAAAGTAGTCAAGTCCAGAACAGTAATTCATAAAGAAAGTATCTCTAAGGGAAAGTAAGTCAACTGTAATTCTAAAACGGAGGAGAATGAGTGAGGCTACCCTTGTGACAGATGTCACTTTAAAGAAAATAAAGTTAGAGAAATTAGATTTCATGAAATTACTTGATCTGAGGAATCCTTAGGTGGAAAGATAGGGAAAAATTATAAACCTGTCCCTCAACTAAAGAATACACTTACACATTTTTCCATTCAAGAAATTATTTGAGGCACTAGGAAATCTCCTGGAAATCTTGCTCTACCTCAACAAATATTTACTGTTGCTTCTGATCTGAAGAATTTTACCAGACATTAGTTATATGTTTTTAAGATAGTATTTTAAATTAAAGGGCCTAGACATTTTTATTTTAAAAAAGAAAGCTGGAATTCTGCTCAATTATGTATTTATTCAATTTCTTAAGGCAAGAAATCTGTACAGCTCCAATGACTAGTTCACCATTATGTAAATCTATTAGCACTCATTCAGTGAGAAGCATATTAACTAGGCAGAACCCACTCTTATGCAATCCCATTCTGAGATTCCGCACCACCACATCTTCCAGTATACACTTCCGGTTAATTACAAGGAAAGAAACATGAACTTCATTTAATATTCGGCTTTTTAGAAATCAAATGGACTTCTTTAATCAACTAATGTTATTCTTTTCTTAGCTTACCAGGTGGTGTATACAACGGGTGATTGATGTAATATGCCATCCAGGCTGCAAAGCCCCAATAGTAAGTGCAATTCTGAGGAAAGAATTAAAAGTGTCATATTAAAGATGTAATAGATTAGTAGCAGTATATCAAAAAAAGGACTTGCTGACTGCCTCAGTTTTATTGCTCCATGAGGAGACCCAGCAGAAAAGGAGAGCAGTTTTTAGTCTATAGCTATGTTGCTTGAAAATATCATTACCTTGAAGATGTTACGTAAAGGCATTGTTCCATGGGAGAATCTGTGGACGAAAAGGGTCTCAAGAAGGCGCTTGACATAATGGAAAGAATGGCAAATGCAAGCCAGGCTAGAAAGGAAAGGAAAACAGAGATGGCTGACAATAGACTCAAAACCTTACCAAACAAAAAATACAGATACTATTCTACTGTATTTGATTATTAACAGCCAAAGGATAAGGTATATCCATGTTTCCATATTAATCTATTTATTATTTAAATTTATATGGCCACCCATCTCAAATTATTAGCTCTAAGTGGCTAACAGCAGTTACAAGTACTACGTAACTATATATAACAATAAACATACTTAATTATTTTTTTTAAATAATCAGCAATCGAGGTAAAAATCTAAATAACCAATCAACAGACAAACTAGCACAAGCACTATATAAACTTTGGAACAAATTCAGCTTCCCAATGGTGACCCAACCATGACTTTAAGGCAGACTGGACAAATAATTTTCCCAAGGGGTCACATGGGAAACTGGGACTGCTGTGTTTTAAAGGGGCAGAAAAGGTCCTCTTCCTGGGCTTTGCCAAATGACATTCCCTAATAGACAGGATCTGTAACATCTTTCTCCTGCTGGATAGATATATTGGAGAGATGATCTCCCAAATACTTGCCCTGTACCATGAAAGCTTTTATTGTTTTGGCCATGTCATGGGAACAATGGGAACTCAATGGGAAAGGCAATTTTCAAGTAAGTGAATTGGAGAAGCTGAGAGGCAGGGAGAGGGCGGTAGAGGCCTTCAAGGGTGATGGTGCATCTCATCCCAACCAGGGTTCGTTAATTACAGAAAAATAAAACTCTTTTAGGGTAGGAGACATTCCACCCCATGGAAGAGGAAAGTAAGTTTAAGAATGAATCCACTCTTTGTGACTGAACACATATATTGCCTCATGGAGAAAGTTTGTAGTAGTGAAGAACATTATTATTAGGAATTTTTATTATTCTATTATTAACTATTCTATTCTATTATTGAGCTATCCTATTATTGTATTTCTATCATCAGACAAATAGAAGTAGAACAGGCTTGCCAACCATATGGTGACTTTTCCTCCCACTGTGAAGATGGCAGACATTAAGTGTTATCTAAATAAGCTTGATAGGCAATGTTGGACTAAAACCAGTAGATGGGATGCACATCAGTATTAACAATGTGAAGAAAAGTAAGCAGGCAGGCCTGGAAACCAAATTTAGGTTGCTGGGCAAGGTTGAAATTGAAGACTGCTGAAATGACTCTCTTGGAAAGTGCCAAATAGGCAAATGTCTAAGGAGATTCTCAATCATTCAGCACCTAAAGGTGCTTTTTCAAGAGAGAACTGGACTTTCTTGTGTTTTTTTTAAGATGTTTCACTTCTCATCCAAGAAGCTTCTTCAACTCTAACTGGACGTGGGGAACTATTTGCAAATAGCTGGTAATTTGAATTCTTTTAGAGAATTGTTGAAGCCACCTGAAGGTTTATCTGTGTTGTTAGGGTCACCTGAGTGCTGCAAATGGGTGTGGAGCCTTCTTGGAACTGTTGAAAGGACTGTGTTGTAAAACTGGAGATAGATGATGTTGTATCCCTCCCCCTCTGTTCAATTTTGACATAGATGATCTCTTTGACTCCTCTTTCAAACCAGTGGTCATCTGTCCAAAATGTGGACTTTGCTGTCTTCAAAAGAGTGGCCTTTGTCTTTTAAATGCAGATGGACTGCTGAATCTTGACATGATGGGATTGTTCTCCTATGTTGTGCCACAAGTATCAATGATTACCAATATAGATAGCATCTTACTATGTCCCGAATCATAGCAGTGTGCTTGAAATACTTATTGCTGGAATATGTAAGTAGAAAGTGGCAATTACTCCCACCTAAATTGTGAGCTTCCAAATGCTGGCTATTTTATTACACAGAATGTACCTTTAGTCTGATGGGGCAAAACTTTATGTCCTTATGTGACACTTCAATAATACCCAATTGCAAAAAGGAATTCAATATTCAGACCAATTCTTTTCTGCCAACTCTAGAAATGTCAGTTGTAATACAGGGAAATTTTCCTTTACAAGAGCAAGATATATGAAGGGAAATGCCTAGTCCTAGCAAGGAAGAATAGCAATAGCAATAGCAGTAGACTTATATACCGCTTCATAGGCCTTTCAGGCCTCTCTAAGCGGTTTACAGAGTCAGCATATTGCCCCCAACAATCTGGGTCCTCATTTTACCCACCTCGGAAGGATGGAAGGCTGAGTCAACCCTGAGCCGGTGAGAATTGAACCGCTGACCTGCTGATCTAGCAGTAGCCTGCAGTGCTGCATTTAACCACTGCGCCACCTTGGCTCTTAAAAATGAAAAAATGAATTAAGTTTGGGGCTGCCTTCCTTGGAGAAGATCTCAGCTCACTTAGTGGAAAACATTCCAGTTTAAATTAAATGTAAGCAATAAAATGTTTATTGTGGCCTGTAAATACTCACTGAACAACAGAGTATTTGCTGGAGGTGAAGTCATATCTTGAGCCATAAATGAAAGGAACCCGGAAATAAAACATCAGGTAAATGAGGAGGGGCCCAGCATATTCTGTGAGGAATACCTGACAGAACAAAAACAGAATGTAGAAAGGCAGTAGGAATTCACAGGGAAGTGCTTCTTGAGGAGAACTGAAATACCACTCACAGTCACCCAGCTGATCTGTGCGCCTAAGTCCCGGAAATATAATGTTGCTGTTGTACCAACTGGCAAATTCTGAAGGATATCTTCATCCTTCAAAGACTTTCCCTCTAGAAGATTAAAGAGAAATCACATTGAAACTCTGGGGGACTCAAAATTTTGATTTGATCATCAAACACAATAGTTGCTTGTTTGGCTATACAACAGAGAATAAATTGTTAGCCTTTCATTGTAAAGAACAACATATGCACAGTAACCTGAGATGAAAAATGCTTAGCCATCTTCTTTATTCATGAATCAAATCATTAGCAATTAACTATTGGTAGGTAAAGATTTCTTTCAAAGAGGACCTTCTTGTGAATTCCCAAACCACAGAATGTTCACACCAATGTTATTCTCTAATACAATCTCATTCAAGCAAGTACCAGCCTTTGTTTTGTTCTTTCCCATATCTTTCACCAAAAACCTCATCCTAAAGTGAGGAAGCCAAACATTTTAGCACAGCAACTTACTGGGATCTAGTCGTAGGGACTGCCGGGTTGGATACCACTGAGGGTCTGAGAAAAGAAAAAAATAAGTTTTCTTATAATGAGTCAGGACCATTAGTGCCATCAGTTGGCAGCACTCAAGAGTAATCTAGAGATATAAAGGTAGACAAAAAATATTTTTCATGAGTTTTCATGAGAAAGAGAATTTAAAAATTAGAGAAAAGTTACTCATTCTGGGTCAATATATAAAATTTTTAAACAGTATCTATACCGATAGTACAATCTATACACATGACTAATAAGACTTGTTTAAAAGTAGTTGAGTATATGACTAAACTCATAGCTATTACCATTTCTTTAAAGGTTTTATACAAATTTAGACAGATAACCTACGTGGCCATATGGCAGCTGAAGCCCAAAAGATCTGGAGAGCACTAAAAAATTGATGAAACACAAACAAATCTTAGATCCTCTCGTCTGCTTCAGATTGCTTTACCTTCCATAGCAAGTAAAAGTAACTGATCAAGAAACAAGCCAGCATACGGGGAAAATGCTCTTAATCTATATATTTTTCTTTCTCAACTCCATAAAGCAGGGGTGTCACCCCAACCCCCGTTTTAGTGAAGGGGAAAAAACATCACATGATGACATGATGATGTGAGTTTGACACCTCTGCCGTAAAGGGACAAAAAGGACAAAAAAGATAAATTCATAAGCTGAAGCTACTGATCTTTGGTTCTAATCAAAGAAAAATAATTATATTTTCAAAAATAAACCATTTAAATCAGTGGTAGTCAACCTGGTTCCTACCGCCCACTAGTGGGTGTTCCAGCTTTCATGGTCTGCGGTAGGGGTTTGCTGTAACTCTGCTTTATAAATTTTATAAAGTAAAGTTACTTTCCTACTTTATAAATCACCATTACTGTGGAACCGGTGGGCAGTTAGAAAATTTTACTACTAACAGAGATACAAAAGTGGGCAGTAGGTATAAAAAGGTTGACTACCCCTGATTTAAGTGATGTAATAATTTTATTAATAAATCAAGGTGCTCTTCACTTTCAACATTGAAACTCATTACAAAGATATGGTAAACAACAAAGGTGGTATTTTTCTATACATACGAGACTTGGTAAAGAGACTCTTGATTTCATTTATGGTAGCATTGGGCTCTACCTGAAAGGAAACACACAAAAGGAATCAGAAAACCAAAGGATACTAATCTGTATAATCAAGTAAAATCACTTTGATTTAACTACTTTCTAGCCTGACAAACAGGCAACAGCAATAAAATGCCTCAGACATAACAAGTGCATATTCAAATTTTGTGTAAACTGGAAATATACCACCAGCTTATATCAGCGTGTTAAGCAAAATACTAGATGAGTCAATTAGAAAATTAAAAAAGCTGTGATGAAACAATGTCTTCCCAGCACTCCAGAAACACTGCTAGAGATAAGTTAGAAATGTGCTTCTGTCACACACTTCTATATTCTTATCAGCCTAGTTGCTTGCAGGCAAGAACCTATTACATCTAGTAGGGAGGTGTAAGTTTGGATTCAATCCAGATGAAGTCTTTGAAATATTGAAAAGTATGTATGCAACAGTCTGTGCACTTGCAACTTTTTCCATGGTTGCATAGCTGCTACAGAAGTTTCTCCACTACAGCCATGCAATCCTATGGGTAAAATCCTTTAATGATTATAAACATCTGGCACATTCATATTCTCACACATTTCAAAGAAAATCCAAAGCACTGTACATGCTTAGCTTCTGGTCAATAGGAATCTGTTGGCAGAGGTATTAATCCCTTTATGTTGTTCACAATCACTTTTGTAAGAACACAACATCAAGAATGTGGTTAGATGTTTTGTTCTCTCTTTCTTTGTTGCTTTATTTGTATGGTCATTGCATCAACTCTGTTTTAATCCTTTTACAGTAAGAATTGAATGTAAACTGGTTCTCTTCCACCTTGGAAAGCTATTTCTGTGGTCCAGAATAGGGTTGGATGAAATGAATCAATAGTCAAAGGATACTGAAACTGACTTCTTAAATCAAAACTAATGTCACCAATACTGACTGCCTACTGTAACTTGAAGGCTAGTTAGTTCTTTACAATGTAGTGGCACACTCATAAAATTTATAAAGCAACAAAGCAACTTTATTGCAATTAAAAGCCTTCTTGTGTAATAAAAACACTTAGCATGAATTTGTTAATTACATTTTCATCATACATACATACATACATACATACATACATACATACATACATTCTGAGGTTTTCGCGGGTGTTAGTATGTAGGTCTTTGATTATTCGGGTTTTCTCCCGCGTAAAATTGGAAGTGTCTTGGCGACGTTTCGACAAAGTCTCATTCGTCATCTTCAGGCTTGTTTGCTTGGCTTTGTGCTTCCAGGAGCAATTGCGAAAATTGAGAAAACCCGAATAACCAAAGACAGACAGACAGACAGACAGACAGACAGACAGACAGACAGACAGACAGACAGACAGACAGACAGACAGACAGACATATAAAGTGTCTAGGTGGGGCTAACTAAATTTCAAAAAACTGATCAATTCTTGCTAGGAGTTATAAACATGCCTGGGAAATTTAGTTCTTGGAAGTTATAACATGAAATGAGTATTTTCTGCTTGATTCTTAAAGAATTCAAATCTAAGATATGCATGTGAACATGAAGGTATCAATGGTGTTTCATTCAGAAAATGAACTACAAAAATTGTAAATCTGCATTTGTTTCTGTGCCCACCTCTCACACACTCTCTTTCTATCTATATTAGCCAGGGGGAACATAAGGATCAAAGACTAAGCATTAAAACAAATTAAAAAGTGAATATATCCAAGGTTAATAGAGGCTGGGAAAACCTCTGCAAATCTAGGCACTCTTTCAAAAAATCTGAAAAAACTATCAAAAACTAATATAAAATAAACAAAGAAAAGGAAAAAAAAAGACAAAAGTGCAACAAAGATAAAAATAAATAGAAATAAGAGACTTAATTTTCTTTGCAGCAAATACAAGTACAGGTAGTCCTCAACTTAAAAGCATTCATTTAATGACCATTCAAAGTTACAACAGCACTGACTTATCACTTTTCATATTTATGACCATTGCAGCATCCCAATGGGCATGTGCTCAAATTTGGATGCTTGGCAACAGGCATGTGTTTATGATGGTTGCAGTGTCCCTCGGTCATGTGATCCCCTTTTAAAAACCTTCTGACAAGCAAAGTCAATGGGGAAGCCAGATTCACTTAACAACTTTGTTACTAACTTAACTGCAGTTATTCACTTAACAACTATGGCAAGAAAGGTCATAAAATGTATTAAAACCTGCTTAACAACTGTCTTACTTGTAAGAGAAATTTTGGGCTTAATTGCAGTTGTAAGCCAAGACTACCTGCAGTGGTGGGTTCCGGCAGCCGCTACTGCCAGTTTGTTCAGGGATGCACAGTACATCACAAATTGCTCTGTGCATGCACAGAAGCAAAAAACAAGAGAGAACTAGTTCAGGGGCGTGGCAGGCCTGGGTCGCTGCCGGTTCCAATGACCCAGGCCGCCAAGCTGCTACCAGTTCAGCCGAACCAGTCCAAATTGGTAGGAACCCACCAGTGACTATCTGTATGATTATAAAATTGCCCCTCTATGTTTACAAAATAAAGTTTTCCTTTTCTATTATCTAATAGTTTCTAATCATCAAAACCATAGATCAGGAGTTCATTTTTTTCTGTTACACGCAAAGGCCTATAGGGTGTTTCCACTCAGCAACAAATATAGATGTTGTCTTTTCTCTAATCAAAGAAGTCAATTTAGTCATTTCTGCAAGTTCTATTATCTTTCCCAACTATAATCTTTCTCCATTGTGAATGGTACTGAAGCTTTCCATTTTTGAGTATATTAATAATCTCACTTTTTAAAACTTCCTTTTTTATGACCCTGTAGAGACCCTATTCGGGGTAGAGTTGAGGCAACTGGATGGAGCTGAGGAGTTCACATATTTTTTTTCTTTGTGTGTGCCCTAGGAGAGAAAGATCTCCTGCTACCTAGGATTGAACTCTCAACCTTCTGAGTGGGAGTTTAGTCTCTTCACCAGTTTCAATTGTATCTTTCAAACATTTTCTGTTTAAAGTTTTGGAAGATAAGTATTTTGGAAAGAATTCTATAAAATGGGTAGCATTGATTTATGCTTCAAAAACAGTACAAATTGAGAAGATTAAATATTTGGGTATTACTATGACAAACGTGAAAAATTGTATCTGTATTATCCATTACTATCCATGATATCTGTATAAACCATGCATATCTCAATTCTCTTCCAAAACTACTCTGGATTTTGGTGTAACTACTTGACAATTACTGCTGCCACCACTACTTCCATTGGGACATCTTTACCTGGTATTATCTCTCCTAATCCTGATACATGAGAGAGATAGAATCCCTGCAGCCTATAGATTTATTTATTTCCAAGTTTAAAAAGAAAAAAAATGATAATGAAATAACAGATTTGCAGATTGAAGTGACTATGCTATGTGGCACAGAAGATATTTTAAAGTTTTAAACAGATTTTGCATGGCACAAAAGCATGCAGCATATATGTATATATGTATATGAATGCTCTGCGTGCGAATATAAACAAAGGTGGAAAAAGGAAACCATTATAAACTCTTGGCTACCTTACTATTTCATCCATGTGGAGCAGGTAGAAGTTGCACAAGGGACAGGGTATATTGAATGTTGGAACATGGGAAAAAGGAGAGGGGGAAAGAGGAGAGTGATAGGAAAAACTAAGAAACAATTGGCGCCTATATTAATTTGAAGAAAAATATTAGGTGGTTTTAATTTATTCTCATATTCATTCCCAAGCTACCAAAAATACTCTACATTTCATTCAAGCAATCAAGTAATCAAGCAATGATAAAAAATACTGAAAATGAATGAAGAATAGGTAAACATTCTTTGATTCAATTCAAACTTTTAATACCAGAGCTATCGATGCTATGGATACAATGCAAAAAAGTCTCCACAAAAAGTGTAATAGTAAAATTAATACCATAATGTACAAAGATTGTGAAAAAGATTACTTAATTGCAGTGTGAGTATTAAAAACATTGTTAGGTGCATATTGGTAAAGATTTCTTAAATGAATACTTTCCCTTTTAAATATATGTTTTCTGTGATGAAAATGTGCCATATGAGTAATGATCAATAAGCAAAATAAGGAAGTTGGTGTAGTTCTTATTCAACAGTCACCACCTATAATTCTGAACAGAGAGCATTTATACTTTCATTCTAATCATTTATTCTGCCCAATTCCAATCTTGTATGGAAGCCCAACTAGAGGTGAAAGACAAAGGAAACAATGTAGTTAAAAGGAGTTTATTTTACTGATGGGAGAAGACATTGTTATAAAAAGGCAGAAAACAAACAAAGGAGGTTGAGTGCATTCTTTTGCGAAGGACAGTATTCAGCTGGAGAGGCAAATTATGGGTTTAGAGGAAATGACCATACAGATTTGTGCATGATTAAAACATATTATGTTGGTTTTTAGATTTTTAGACACCGTATTTCCTATTTTATAGCTATATCTAACATCAGTGGATGAAGTGCATGCTTTGTTTATGTTGTGTGGATCCTGTTTTGGAAATTGCACTATGGCATTTCCTAACCGCCCAGCTCCCTCGTAGAAGGGCTCTCGGCAGTTGGGAATTGATGACATACTGACTTGAGATGTGTATGGATGCTGCTTTGCTGTTATTATTGAGTTGAAAGAAGTTTGAAAATATATGTCTTTTTTTCTGTGGCTGATTTATTGCTAATCCCTTTTGTAAATTACTTATATTTGTTTGATTAAAGTGACTTAAAATGCATGTAATAATAATAAAATGGGTATAGGAATGTTGTGCTGGAATTCTGAGCTGCATTTTTATATTTCTAGAATTTTTAATCATTATGTCTACATACGCAACAGCCACACATTCACAGACAGAAAAAGTATGTTCTGCCATACTACAACATAGTAAAATAATGTAAATGCGCGGCTATGGAAGACAGTAGCACTTTAGTAAAGAAATCAGTAACTGGGAGATAAGACTAGGGTCCAAATGTCATACATGGCATAAAAAAATGTGGAAGAAACTAGGATTATGCTTGGCTGACCACTACCACTATATGGATGTTACTTTAGTCTCATCTCTATATTTAGTCTCTTTGCTTCCTCAACAGTCAATGCAGGAGTCTCATTTGTCTGAAAGGATTAACAATACCCATAGGAATCAAAATGAAAAAGAGCAAGATGCTACTGCTACTCAGTGTTGACACAAAACTGAGCTGCCATGGTTAGTAAATCTTTGGGACAAAAAAAGAATAAGTGAATTTCCCTCTTTGGTGCTCTTCTGTTTTTCCTTTCCTTTCTCATAAAATATGTTTTCTACCTTCAAAGTTTATCTCATCCAAAAAAACATGCATCTCAAAAAAAATCTCTCTCTAAACTACTTTGTATAGAAAAAGGATTGATAATGCAAATACAGAGAGACATTTGTAACTAAGGTGTCACCATATTAAGGGTTCAAAATCCTCCCCTTAATCAGATTGGCTAGCACTTTTGGATGGGATTTGTCATTCTTTGCAATAACAAATTCCACCTAGTAGACTGATGTCTGAAAAATTTACTTATCTTATAGATACACCTGGTACTGTGTCTTTGAGTAAGTTCTTGAGCCAAAAGGCACTAATAGCTATTTTATACAAGAGTTCTGAATCTTTAAAGATTGAAAAATTTAGCCAGTAGGAAATTTTCAGTGGATTGTACTTTTTGAAACAAGCAACAAAACTGAAGTCCTCTCATTTGTGTTTCCTCAAGCCAACCAGATGTATGTGTAAACAATTATAGAATTTCATTATCTAAACTAAACCAAAACAACTTTCATATTTTGGGGGTTCAAATATATCCAAAATCTGAAGGTGTGTCTAGTTACAGTGGTAGATGTGCAGATCCAGAAGAATTATTTTTTTCTGGGAAATTAACCATTAACTCAGTGATAGTGCAATTATTATGTAAGAATGAAAGTGGGATTAAAGATAACAAACTGTTCCAAATGATTTACAGTTCTGTCTTCCATTTATGTTACAAATCTATCTCCATGGAGTTAGGGTTCATGCCTTTGTTCTTTACTTAGGATATACATAGGGAGGTATCACACCAGCATTAAAGACAAATGAAAAAATCTCTACTGGTGGCCAGATCACATGCTTATTATACTCATAGTTCTAGAGCTGTCCTAAAAGGACTTGATATCAAACACAGCCTAAAAGATGATTAACACATTCAGATCAGAGATAGGTGGTCATGATTATAGAACAATTTGGGAGTTCAACGGTGTATCACACAACTGCAAAACAAAAATATTTCTTATAGTTTTGCAACATGTGTATTTGCCTTTTGATAGCAAATATTGATATATTTTGCAACTGACTATAATTTCCTGTGCATGAATCTCTCACATTGCTAACTATAAGTCCTGCACATGTAGATCTCACTTGCTAACTGAAGTTCCAACTTCATGTATATTTCATTCAAGCTTTGTTTTATGACAGTTTTTAGTAAATAACTCACCTTTTCAGTATGAAAGTACAAGACTATGGTTTTTTTAAGACTAAAGCAATTCTAAAGCTCTGCAATGATGAAAAGTCAACTTCAGCTTCAAATCCTCCTTCTGAGATTAGGACACTTACCTTATCCAGGAAGCACAGCTTTTCCCGGGTCTTGGCATCCAGGATCTCCACCTCAAAAAAAAGAACACCCCTTTTAGATTTCTTAATAGGATGATGTGGCCCTGAATCATTGATATTTCTTTGAAGAGGTGGACACCCATCTATGGGCAACAAATTCCCATCCATGCTTCTTCACAAAGCAGCAAATCCCAAAGAGTATGTTCAGTCAATAGACTTGTTCACAATAAGCTTCCTTCCCTATGATCAAAATTTAAGTATGGATCATTTCTGATCTGTGTGAAAATTTGAGTCTGAAAGAAAAAAAGCTCCTGTTGAGATTAAGACTCGAAGTTCAGCCTTTCAAGCAATTCAGCTCAGCAAATAAAGGGGCTTCTCTTTTGGTCTGTTCTGAAGTTATGTTCCAAGACGTAAGTCGATAGTATGGTAGCTGAACCCTTCTCAGCTAAATATAAAACTGAGCCCAGCAAAGAACTTCTTGCAAGCAGCCTCTTGGCCAGTTAAGTCATATCAGGAAATTTTAAAGTCTTTTATTTTTATTATGAAATTTATTTGCCACCCATCTTGCTTCAAAGTTAATCTTTCATTCAAAAGACCATGCTAACCCATTCATGTCCAGATTTCACAAGCCATCTTTTGGGGTGGATAAGGTACTCAGATAATTCTCCCTTCGACTGCATATGAATACAGGAGGCTGCTTGGCAAAACTAAAAAATTTCTAGGATCTTATCCAGCTCTCTATTGATATTAGAGCCTAGAATTTTTGTCTGCCCAGGAGACCAGGAGTTTCTATTACAGTAACACAAGAATCCGAACAACAATTCCTAGGTATTTTTTTTGGTGGGGGGAGTATCATGCTAAGATAAATTACTTAATGCTTGCTGTAGCACAAGGAGCTGCCTTTGAATATAATTGGAAATTTCAACAAGTACAAAAGATGGCTGCTAAGATGTGGTCAGAAACAAGGTGTGTATATTGTGTGATATAAGTCCACAGCGGCTTTATGTGTTAGTGATCTGTTTCTGGGCTCACAAAAATATAGTTTATGTATAGGCACTGTCTTAAATCCCTTAATAATATAAACCAGTGATAGCGAACCTTTTTTGGCTCACATGCCCTAAGTGGGGGGAGCGCAGGGGGGGTCATGTGCGGGCGTGCGGCACCCATAATGCAATGCGTGACACCCCCCCCCCAGTGCACATGCATGCACTACAGGCGCACCCACATTTTTGCATGCTTTTTTCGCCCTCCCCAGGATCCAGAGGCTTTATAGGAGCCTGGGGAGAGCGAAAACAGCCTCCCCCGCCCCCGCCCCCAGAAGCCCTCCTTCAGGAACCTTCAGAAGGCTTCCCTGAAGCCTCCAGAGCAGTCAAAATGACCCTCTGAGCAAACTGGAAGCTATTTCCGGTTTGCTCGGAGGGTCGTTTTAAGCCAGTGATGGCGAACCTATGACACGCGTGTCA